GTTAGCCACCAGGAGTCCTTCTTTCTCAGGACCCATAATACTTTCAAAGAACTTAACAAACATTGCCTCTTTGATCCTCACATCAGCTCTGAAAGAAAGGGCATGTATATTCCTTCAGCAAACGTTTCCCGAGCAGGCACCCACCACACACCAGTCACTATGCTGGAACTTGGCTGGTGATACAAGGATGACTAAGCCCCTGTCCTTGTTCTCAAGGGGTTTTAGGTCTCATAAGGAAAACCTATGATAGACTCAGAAGTTAAGGGACTTGGTTTTTTGTTTTTGTTTTTAAAAAGTATATCTTTATTGATTTCAAAGAGAGGAAGGGAGGGGGGGGAGAGATAGAAACATCAATGATGAGAGAGTCATTGATCGGCTGCCTCCTGCACGCCCCCTATTGGGGATCGAGCCCACAACTCAGGCATGTGCCCTGACTGGGAATCTAACCACTATCCCCTGGATCCTAGGTTGATGCTCAACCGCTGAGACATGCCCAGCCAGGCAAGGGACTTGTTTTGAAAGTTCTTTAAAGTTATGGCCCTCAGAATAAGGAATCACTTGGGCTGCTTGTTAAAATAAAAATAGATTCCAAACCTGCTGAATTGGATCCCCAAGGTTGGAGTTTCCAGTGACTCATAACACTGCTCTTCAGCTAGTAGATGATCTAGTTGAGATTTGAGCCTTTTCTGGCCATATTGCCAGAGACTTTTTCCCTCCATTTGTCATCCCCTAGTTTTACAGATGAGAGAACTGACGCAAGTGGGAGTCAACTGCCCACAGTGAATTAGAGACAGAACTGGGATTAGCACCTGAATTTCCTGGATTCCTACATCTAACCTATTTCTACAACAACATCTAGAGTGTTAAATTAACTTTGCACTCTGGTTCTGATTGAAACTGCTTTCCATGTCCTTTTATTTCTAAATTTATTCAACTGTATAAGCTCTCAGGGAGCATTTGTGTCACATTCTGTCAGCAGGGATTGTCTGCAAACAGGTCTCTGCCTTTACTGTAGGGATACACAGACCTGAGAGGCTGTGTTTGTCAGCCTCAGACCACAGGGAAAATTCTACCCGGAGGCAGAATCCTTGGAGAGTTAGGGTGCCAGGAGGCTGCTTAAAGCTCCTCCTTGGTAGATAAGGGAAACCAGACCAGTAAGGCCTGGTCAGGGTTCACTGAGTGTGGATTTTATCTAGAACTAAGGTCCTGGCAGGGTAGCTCCTTCCTGGCTTTGGGGAGGGACTCAGGAATATTACTTCACTCCAGATTCAAGAGACCTAGGCGAACCTATGTATAGTGTGCTTTTTATCTCTATCTGTCATGTGTGTCTGTATATATACATATACCATATGTATTCTGTATATCTCATGTGTATGTCATATATGTGTGTGCACATGTGAGGTGTACATATTATACATGTGTGTGTATATTGTGTGCATGTATGTGTATGTATGTATATAAAAAAGAATGTAGGAGAGAAGTTCTAATGAAAACCAGTTAGATCTACATATGGCCACAGGTCATATAACATTTTGTCTAGGGGCACAGACCTTGAAGTCAGACCAACTTTATGCACATCTTAACTCCATTTATTTAACCTCCATCTTCACTTGTCTGAAAATGGATGTACTACCTACGTCACCAGGCTGTTGTGATGATTAAATGAGATAACGTCTGTTGAATGTTCAGCTCAGGGCCTGGTAGGTAGTAAGAACTTAATCGTTATCATCACAGAACAGGGATATTCTAGGCCTTTTCCTCATTTACGTATTTGTGGTGGGATGAGGGTAAGGACCAAAGGACCAGGAACTTCCCACTGAGGGGCTTGATACCACCCAGCTTCATCCAATTGTCACCATGGGAAACTGTGAGCCCAAAGGTGCCAGAGCTTATGCCTTTTCAAGAGAAAACAGAAGCCTGTATTTTTAAATGTGAAATTGCCTGCTTTTCACATTTTAACAACTAATTATTTTTAAATACACACAACGCAAACCTACCACACCATAGACCAACAGAAGGGATATATAGGCTGGTTCCCAGTTTTCAGCTCTGCAGTCTGAAAGGTCACCAGACACTTCCTTGCTGTGTCACACCTTCTGGGCTAGGGTGCAGAGTGCGTTTTTTGACACATGTTAACAGAGTCTGCCTGTTCTGTGCCTGGTGCTGCTGGAGAGCATATGGGAAGTACTCGTAACCTTTGCCCTCTAGCAGAGAGGCAGGACTAACACACCAGATGACAAGGATCAGGTAGGAGGTAGGAGGTAGGAGCTACTTGAGCGTGGTCCACATCATAAAGAACAAGGAAATGGAAGCTTTCCATGAACCAATAGGGAGCTACTTGGAGAATATATTAAATGAAGAAAAGCAAAGTATAAAAGGTACAGGATACTACCTGTTATGTAAGAAGAAAGAAACTAAGAATATTTATATGTATTTGCTTAGTTTTGCAGAAACAAACAGAAAGGAAACCAAAAACAACTGAAAATGGTTACTTGGGGAAGAGTGGGATGAAGGGATAGGGACACTTCTGATTATGCTTTTAAATTTTCAGTTTTAGTGAGATATAGTTTACATACAGCACTGTATAAGTTTAAAGTACACAGCATGACATGTATATTGTGAAATGATTACCACATTAAGTTTAGTTATCATATATAGATTCTAGAACATTTATTAAATGATGAACTAAGCTGAATCTTTACCTTGGGTGAAGAGGAGGGGGTTGTGGTCAGAAAATGATGGATAGAGTAATTTGAAGAAAGCCAGAAGTTGTAGCTTCTGGAAGCTTACCTTCTTGTCTAGCTTATAGATACAGTAATGAGGAGTAGCATAGGAAGAACATCTAGAAGAAGGAACAGTGTGGGCAAAGACAAAAGCCAGAAGCCATAGCAAGTGAAAGGAGAACAACTAAGAGCAGGGACCAAGAATAGGATGGAGCCCTCACTATTCAGACCCCCGGGGCCTGATCAGAACCACTCTGCCTTCATGGCTCCTGCAACCCCATCTGTATAGTCCAACAGACAAGCAAACAAGCAGTTCCTTTGGGTGTTCGTTCTGCCAGAAGATCAGGTTCTGGGAGCTGTGGCAGGCATCGGAGGCTGACCAGCATCAGGCAGCCAGTTCGATGCCGTGGCTTAATGGCCTAGCTTGAAGACAGGATGACCTTTCTCTGGAATACAATAGGGAAGCTCTAAAAGGTTTTAAGCAGCAGAATGACTGGGCATTTTAGTAGCCTCACTCTCCTCCATTGTGGCCAATTTCCATACCTGGGGCCATGATAGCTTGATTGTGGTTTCTTCCGAGCCAACCATTTCCAGTGTCTTGTCTAGTTTATGTCTTGTTTTGTTTTATCTTTCTCTTCTTTCCTGTGTTGTGCTCTCCTGGGCCCCACGCTCTCCTCTTGATGTGCTTCTCTCTCTGATCCAAAGATCAGCCAGTAAAAAGCAGTCTCACCTGTCCAGGTAAGAGGGGTGCCAGGGTGAGGGAGGGGAGACCCTCCTCTTTTAAATTTAAAAGTTATTTATTTGAATTGTATTGTGTTTATTATTTGGATAGATAAAACCTTCACATGGTTCAGAATTTAAAAGTTGCAAATGAAAATATAATGAAAAATTTCCAGCTCCATCCCTGTGCCCTGGGCACTGTTTTCCTTCCTCAGAAGCTACTGATGCTGTTTCTTTTATACCCTTTCAGAGATATTTTAGATACTTTATGCATGTGTAAGCAAATATTTTAACATATAAACAAATAATTGCCTTTTTATCTCTTTTAGCCACTTTTTTTCTGTCCACAGTTCTGCATCTTACTTTTTTCACTCAGCAACACGTCTTAAAGACCGTTCCTCGTGGTTTATAAAGAGCTCCTCCTTTTGTAGGCTGAATACTGTGTCAGTCCATTAATATACTGCAATTTATTTAACCAGCAATCACCCATCGTGAACATTTAGATTCTTTCCAATGTTTTGTCACTGCAAGCAGTGTTTCATGAATAGCCTTATACATGGTCATTTACTGTAGATGTGAATAGGAGACTCTTTGGAAGGGCATCAAGTATTGACTAGGAACCGGCAATTTGGACACTTCTCTAAAAAGGGGAGGCATAGCAATGATTTGTGCTGCTGTCCCTGCTGGGGTGTCCTATTAAAGGAGATCGAGCAAAAAAATGTTCTGGTTTAGTGATCTCATAGATACCTTCAGGTTTTAGGATCTTAATAGTTTCTAAGCAAGGTGCCTCAGGTTGGTGGTAGGAATGGGCCTGAATGTGGGGTTAGAATGCTACCACCAACTAGACCAGATTCCCGTTCTCCCATGGTACCCACAAGATAATGGAATTTTCCAAGGTTTGAGTCATTGCTATATCCTGCTTTCTAGAAAAGTGTACAAGTTGCCAGTTACCCAACATGTTAGTACCAAATGCCCAGATACCCTCCTAGAGACGCTGCTGGGGGAGGGATGAAGAAATGAAGCTGAAGTGGGGAAGGGCATTTCTTGCCACCACCGCGGCTCTCTGCTGTGCTCATGCAGGCTTCTGTATGTTTTTTACTCACCCCATTCTTGCCCTCCAGTCTCCCTTTCCTTTACCTAAAACTAATTGGCTGTTTATTTTTTCCTGTCTTTTTCTCGCATTCATTTTCTCTGGTGCTCTGTTCTGTTCCATCAGCCCCATTGCAGCCTGGTAAGACCCAACAAGCATGTGTCTTTGGGCACAGCCTGTTCTTGCTATTGTCTCTTTGTCTTCTGACTCCAGGAAGGGCTATTTCCCTTCACACTTTGGTGGGTATTAAAGAGATCATGTTAATCCTGCCAGCCTAGGAGTCCAGACAGGTGGTATTACTAGTGGTGTAGACATGGCTAATCTTCCACCAGGTTGAGTAGGTCCGAGGGTAGAGGGTTGGTCTCTCAGTGTCCAAAACATGGGGCCACTTTTGACAGGGCTTTTTTCCACTACAACATGGGTCCCTCCCTGCCCTCCTCACTGATACGGTTTTATTACTCCTTCAGGTTAAGTAGCCTGTCTTTGGGAGATTCAGCACCTGAGCGCAAGTCCCCTTCCCACCACGGCCAACCCTCTGACACCTCTGAGACAACAGGTAACCTTCTTCTTGGGGCCTTAACACAATGATACAGGCATACACTCATACAGACTAACCCTGTACCCTAGATATAAAGCTGCTTAGCCTTTATATGAGCTCATAATGCGTACTAGGCATTGTTACATGTTGTATATAAATTTCCTCATTTAGTCCCTATATCAACTATAGAAAGTAGATTTTATTACCCCTGCTTTGTAGATGAGGAAGCTGGGGCTCAGAGAAATTAAGAAACTTGCCCAAGTGCACAAGCATGTAGGGAACAGAGTCAGAACCTGAAACCAATGGGTTTTAAATCTAGAACTCATGCTTTGTCAATTACAAGAAGCAGTCACACGTACCTGCACACACATGATGCCTGATACGCATCCACAGGGGCAGAGATAGCCTTTCTTGTTGTCTGTGTTTGTGTATGGAGGTACATGTGAAAAAACGGTTTTCTCTTGTCATTTATCCTTTCCTGAATTTGGCAAGGGACCAGCCCTGGGTCACCTTGCATAAGTTGTCCAGCTCTGCGAAGAGTCAACAAGCACTAGTGTCCCGTCTGCTGCATTCACTGTATGTAATTAGACAGAAAACTTGAAGTCTCACTGGGCTTCAGTCCCGGGACTGCTTCTCTGTAACGTTAGTCTTCAGCCTGCGTTGGCCCTGCCCCTTCTTCTGCCAGTCTCACCCAGACAGACAGGGAGAGACGGACATGTACAAGAGAAACAAGCATCTCAGAGAGGGTGCTTTCTTGTATGGAATACAGGATTAATCACTGAGGGAGGCAAGTCATTGCCATAGCATTTGGAAAAGGTAAGTCTGGGAATCTGGTTATCTGGAAAGGTTTTTCTAGAGGAAGAAACATGGGGCTTTCCTGGGTTGGTCTCGGCTTGTGTGCACTAACCTTCTCTCTCCCTCTCACCACTCACCAGGTCTTGTTCAACGCTGTGTCATCATCCAGAGGGACCAGCATGGCTTCGGCTTCACAGTCAGTGGGGATCGCATTGTTCTGGTACAGTCTGTGCGGCCTGGTAAGTGTTGCATCCCTTCTGCAGTGGACAGTTCCCACAAAGCCACCTTCTATGTGACAGTGCTGCATAACGTGGAGAACTTACATGTCATTTCTGTCTGAGGGCCTGAGAAGTCCTGGAGGGTACAGTTGAATTACTCTAGAACTGGTTCCCCAGAGGCATCTGGGAAAGTCTCCACAATTCTAAGCCACTAGGGCAGAATTTCTAGGGATGACACTTTATGCTCACTTCCCCTGTCCAGAAGTATAAAAACAACAGAATTGCCTTCAGGTCAGGTAGATGCCTGGTTGCCCTCCAAGAGAGCTCTTCACCCTGGGTCAGAGGATGCCAAGGAGGAGTCAAAGACCTGCTCTCTTCCTACCCACCTTCACATAGCCTCACTTGGCGCACAGGTCATCACCCTTCTGCAGCTGTTTAAACTGAGACAGGTCCAATGTATTTGCAAATACAATTAACATTAAATAATAAACTACCAAAAGATAAATGATGCATGTTGGACAGTATGGGGAGGAAATGGTGTTTGGAAATTTGTGTTTGGGTAGTTGTGGTATAATTATTTTTCTTCTGATCAGTTCAGGAAGCCTTCTTATAAGAAATAGGATTTCAGGAGTAGTTTGAGAGATGGGAGTGAAAAACACATTGGCAGGGTAGGAATTTGGTGGGAAAGGAGTAAAGAGTGGGAGGACATCGTAAGCAAGTCAATCAAGTGACCAATTAGGTATGAAAGAGTTTCAAATATTTCAAAGCATAGTTATATGTCAGGTGAGAGAATCATTGTTGATAGTAATCCAGGCTGAAGAAGATAGGAAATGAGCGTGGGGAAGAATGTAAAGCAAGTGTCCCAAAGAGGGGTGGACAGTAGTGTAGCAAATGGGGTTGGGCCTGGTGACACAGAGTATCGTGGGCTTGGTTTATAGAAGATACAAGGAAAGGGGTAGGAGCAGGCTAGTGTTTCACACTAAGTACAGTGCAAAATGGGAAGGAAAATATACTTTAAGTAATTTTGGAAAGATTTGGGATTTGTTTATGGAAAAGACAAAAAGAGAATGTTAAATTTATGACCAAAATGAGGTAAATGGATCATGCAGGAATATAAACAATTACAACTACTTAACTTTTATCAGTGGGGAGTTTGTTTTTCATATCCTAGGGTAGAGCTCTGAAAAAATACTTTTATTCTTTGCTTCCCTTGTTCTCTCAAGGTTCCTGGACTAGGTGAGACAGCTAATGGGACTGCCAGTGACTTGTACTTTGCCTTTATGGTCTCTTTGATATAGGAAGTTTGGGGATCCCCTCCAGTGAAGTATGAGTTCAGCACTCCTTCAGTTTTTCCTCCCCTTAGGCCAGAGCAGAGTCAGACCCAAAAAGGAAAGAACAAAAGAATGGGTTGTGGCAAAATACGAGTTTTGAGAAATAAGCGCATGTGTGTGTATTTTGGGAAGGAGAGAGGAAGAGACTTAATTTGGATTGGCATTGAAATCACAGAATAACACAGCAGTTATTTTCTTTTCAGATATTAGGTTCCTCTGGTTCACTCTTTCTCAAAGCGTAGTCTTTGTTCTGCCTGTATCAGAATCGCCTAGATGCTACAATGGTTGAAAGCCATAGTCCTGGGCCCCGCTTCAGAAGTACTCTATCGCTTTCTAGCAAGGGGGCCAAGGAATGTGCTCTGTAATTAATTCCCCCAGTGATTCTTGTGCTTACTGAAGTCTGAGAACTTCTGCTCTAATTCCTTAACTCTGAAGAGTTCTTTTTTTAAAATCACTAAGTTATTAGAAGGCATGTGTATTTCATACGTTCTGGCAAAATGGCTCTTTCTTCTCCACCTTTAGTTTCTAGATGACAGCGTAAGAGAGAGTTTTCAGCTCTTTGCAAGTGGGAATAAGTAGCACTTTACATGAGGGCAGTCTCAAGTCCCAATGTTGAAAAGCCAAATTAGAATGTAGTCATCACTGTAATTTCTCTTTTTAAGACTACAAACATCTAGATGTGCCTTGTGGGAGTTTTATTTTGATCAGATGAATGCAACTTACAGATGTAATGATCATTTTGAGAGTGACTGACAAAAAAATCCTGATTTTTATGCTTCTCATTAACTTGTCTCAGTGTTTCTTGTGCTTCCTGGATATAAATTAAACCAGGACTCTAAATCATTTAAAACTACATAGTGGTCACAACCACTGCAGCCTTCAGTCGAATAATAACCTGAAAAAGTAGAGAGTACATTCTGAACTCTACTCATTCAGTCACAATCAGAAGCTCTTAATCTGGTCTGTTAGAAAGGAAGAAACTGTTGCCTTGGTTGAGCGTAGTCCCATGCACCAAAAGGTCACTGATTTAATTCCTGGTCAGAGCACATACCTGGGTTGCTGGTTCGTTCCCCCGGTCAGAGCACGTATAGAAGGCAACCAATGGATCTTTCTCACATTGATGTTTCTCTCTCTCTCTCCATTCCTCTCTCTAAGTGTGTCCTCAGGTGAGGATTTTTTAAAAATGAGATAGGACCTGCCATAGTCTACTTTAGATTAAAAGTAGTTTTGTCACTGGAGCAGAGTAGACATTTGAGGTACTTAACACAGAAAGATGGGAAGAAATTTTGGAGGGAGGTGGTCTGACAGGGACTTTGGTATGCATTTAGTGACCTCTGGGGAAGCTTGTTGGGCTCTGCTGACCAGGCCTTCTTCTTACAGGAGGTGCAGCCATGAAAGCCGGTGTGAAAGAGGGCGACCGGATCATCAAGGTGAGTGGCCTTCCCTTTGCATGCTTCATTTCCATTCTAGCTGTTAGCCACTGAGTTGAGGTGGTACCATGAGAGTGGGCACAGCAGTATATTGTGAGAGGGTGGGGACTAAGATATTCTAGATCTTTCTTGACCCTAATGTAACCAGGTTTCTGGAACAGGTTTTATTATTCCCATTTCACAGATGACAAAAGCAAGATTAAGAGGGTGATGCTGAGACTAGTACAGTACTCAGTGCCTTCTGATTCTTGGGTTGATACTCTCTCCTCCGTACAGTGCTGACTTTAGGTCCTTGCCAGTTTTAAACTACTGTCATCTCCCCTGTTGATTCAGCACTTCTGGAATACAGAGTCCTAGAGCCATTAAGGAAATCCTAGATGAGGAAATCCTTTCTTCTAGGAGGAGAAAACACACCGGGTCAGTTGACATTTGAACAAGGCTAATGGTTGAAAAAGTATATACCAAAAATGAATGAATGAATGAACGAATGAATGAAGCTGCAGCTCTTATCCCTGCAAATTTACAGACTAGCTGGGTAGGCAAAACACATGGCAGATGTGAACAGGAAGAAATTCGTAATGTGAATTTGAGTAAATAAGTGACCAGGGGTGGTTAAAGAACACTGGAAAATAGCCTCCTAAAGGAGTGGCATTTTGAACTTGTACATAGATCCCCTAGGTTTCCATGACCATTACTCAATGCCATATGTTCCCCCAACAGGTGAACGGCACCATGGTGACCAATAGCTCACACCTGGAGGTGGTGAAGCTTATCAAATGTGAGTTGGAAAGAGCTGAGCGCTAAAGAATGGAGGGGAGATGAACTAGGAGGGAACAGCGGAAAGAGCAGGCTTGTTGACCCCAGAGGCTTCCTTTGTAGATGCGGGCAGCAGCTGAAGTCACATCTTTAATCTCAGTGGGGACCAGTCCACTGAGACTGCCACAATTTTCTATTACCATTTCAGGTGGAGCCACTGTTAGTCTCTCATCAACATCTCTATTTTTACACCCATCTTTGCACTCACATCTAGACCATATTTTACTAAGACTAGGTCTCACTCAGATACCATTTTCTCCCCTCTCCCATTCATGGGTATTCTTCCTCATTTGTTTCCTATTTTGGGAGGAAAAGCAAAAATATTCTGTTTGCAGCTGGGAAGACTCAACAATTAAGTCTGCCCAGGTAATCAAACAGAAACAGCAGATGATGAAGAAACAGTTAAAGGCTGTGGGAAGTTTGGGAAGAGTGGAAGGCTAGAATTTGAGTGTCTTCCATGTGCCAAGCAGGCAGTATATTTGGGGCTTTATACTGGCCACTTAATTTAGTGAGACAAAAGAGGAAGCCAGGGACTGATCAGAGACCCTTGGGAGTGTTCCCAGATATTTATGGGTGGAATTTTGGTTGAGGTCTCTACATGAAGAAAGGGAAAGAAGGGGTACTTGTGTTGGTGCAGGGTAGATAAGCAGGCATTAGGGAATGGGGTGGGGGAACATGACAAGTGAGGAGACTTTATCTACAGAATTATAAATTTAATGAGAGGAAAAAGGGAAAGAACCCCCTCCTTTTAGTTTGAATGTCTGCTGTCCAGGACAGTACCATTAGCAAGCCTTCTTTTGTCTGTCCCTCTAGCTGGTGCCTATGTTGCACTGACCCTCCTGGGCTCTTCACCCTCCGTTGGTGTCTCTGGGCTCCAGCAAGACCCAGACCCAGCAGGAGCTCCCCAGGTCACCCCTGTGATCCCACCACCACCACCTCCTCCACCCCTGCCACCACCACAGCGCATCACAGGACCCAAACCTCTGCAGGTAATGGTCCTCCTGCCCTTCTTCTCGCTCTGTTGTCCCTTTGAATAACTCCCATTGGGGGGAAAGCAGGTTAAATTGAATGATATGCTGGTAAGCAGAGACAAACCGAAGAGATATTCTTCCATGTAAATGCATGTGCAGTTTTATCAGACAGCAACATAAAGTGTGGAAGACTCTAAGAAGGCCCTTTGAGAGTGCTCCTCCCCACCTGCAGGTGTAGACAGAGGCATCTTTTAAACACTGCTGCCCGTCATTTTCAGGAGGGTGTGGACCAGGAGCAGGAGAAAGGCTTCCTGAAGAAAAAGGCTGCTTGGAGGAATGAAGTATGGAGCCCAGTCTGTAGGGGTGAGGGTCGGGGAAGGAAACACACAAGTAGGGAGAGAACCTGAGGACCAGGGAAAGCTGCATGAGGGGTTAAAAGAGATCAAGATGCAGATAGAATGGGAAATGGGATTTTCTGGCTGGAAAGAAAACTGAGCCAGTGAGTCCTGGGAGACTTTAGAGAGCAGTTTGATACCAGAGGTGATTATGATTGCAACAAGGTTTCTGGGAAGGTCAGGTAAAACCAAGATAACACTACGCTTACTGAATCCTAGACAAAACACATTTATGACAGGCACAACTCTCATAGCTCTCCTTGCCCAAGAATCAGCTGGTAGAAGAGAATTGAACTGATCCCCAACTCACACTGTCATATTTTCCATTCTTAGGATCCCGAATTTCAAAAACATGCCACCCAGATCCTTAGGAACATGCTGAGGCAGGAGGAAAGAGACTTACAGGTAAGGCCACTGATGACTGGCCGTTGCCTTACTGAAATAACCCTTTTTCAGAGCAATCTGCCAATGTGTACAACTGAATTTATAGGCCATATCCTATTACCATAAAGCCTTAAAAATTAAAACCCAGGACCATGAAGGAATTGTGATAAGCCAATAGAATTTATTAAAGCTGAGTTTGACCGATAGAGTGAAAAGGGTAATAGCTCCTAGATAATAAATTAGAATAGTCAATACATAGGCAAAACACAAACAAGTGATGAGACAAGTAGAGTAAAATGAGGGAACAGTAGAACTGAGGGCCCAGCCAGGCGTGGCTCAGCGGTTGAGCATCAACCTAGGATCCAGGAGATTGAGGTTCAATTCCCAGTCAGGGCACATGTCCTGGCTGTGGGCTCGATCCCCAGTAGGGGGTATGCAGGAGGCAGCCGATCAATGATGATTATTCCATCATTGATGTATCTATCTCTCTCTCCCTGTTCCTTCCTCTCTCTCTGAAATCAATAAAGATATTAAAAAAAAACAAAGAACTGAGGAAAATGCGAGTCAGTTGGAATCGACCTTGTGGTTTCTAGGGAAGGGAAGGGTGATGGGAGGAGGAAGGTAGGGGTGGGGAGGTGAGCGCCATGCAAGCTGATGGAGAAGGGGGCGCTGTTGGTGAATGGGATGCAGAGAGATTTCCAGGCCTGGGAATGGTGCACATAGAGAACAGTAAGATTACTTTAGCTGGAGTGGGATCGCCAGATGACTATAGTAGCTGTGGCTTGCAGCAAGCCCCTCACTCCATTTCAACTCAGCAAATTTCTGTAAGTACCCACTGTATGTAAGCATTGTTTTAGTTCCTATGGTATACAGAGATGAGAAAAGATCAGACAGTTTTTACCCTTAAAATATATAAAATCTAATGGGGAAAATTCATATTACAGTAGAGGAGAGAGTGGCAGGAACAAAGAGCTTCCAATAAGAGAACAAAGAGAGCATTAATTAATAATGGGAAATGTGGGGGGAAACTTCACAGACAGGATTCTGTTTCTGCTGGGCCTTGAAGAGTACAACTTCTGTATGCAAAAGAGATGGGACAGGGAATGCTACTCAGCATAGGTCAAAGGAACAAAGATATAAAAATACACTCATTTATTTAACAAGCCCTGAGTTCCTGCTGTGTGTGTTGCATTGCTAGGGGGAGGAGGGGTGCGAGGGCAAAAGTTGGAATGGTTACAAAGATAAATGAGAGATAAACCTTTCCTTTAAGGAGTTTGTAATCCAGCAGGATATAAGTGGATGAATGAAGATATAGTTATACAACAGTGTAGTAAGTGGTGATACATATTGACAAATGTCATAGAATAATCATGACAGCATGGCATTGGTATAAGGAGAGACCTATAGATCAATACAATAGAATTCAGAGTCCAGAAATGAACCCATACATCTATGATCAATTGATTTTTGACAAAGGTGTCAAGATAATTCATTGGAGAAAGTGTAGTCTTTTCAACAAATGGTGCTGGGACAGCTGAATGTCTATATACAAAGAATGAGTTTGGACCCTTACCTCACACAATAAAAAGAATTTAACTCAAAATGAATCAAAGACTTAAATGTAAGAACTGAAAACATTTTTAAAAACTATAAAACTTCTTCGAAGAAAGCCTGGGTGTAAATCTTTATGACCTTTTAGATATGACACCAAAAGCATGAACAACAACAATGAAAAGATAAAATGGACTTAATCAAAATTAAAAACTTCTGTGCATTAAAGATACGATCAGAGTCCAAAGACAACCCATAGAATGGGAGAAAATATTTGCCAATCATATATCTGATAAGGGTCTAGTACCAAGATGTATAAAGGACTCTTAAAACTCAGAATAAAAAGACAAGCCAATTTCAAAGCTAGCAAAGGATTTGAATAGACAGTCCAGTAGAGAAGACAAGCATGACCAGTAGCGCAGGAAAGGATGCTCAGTATCATTTGTCATTAGGGAGACACAAATCAGAACTACAGTGAGATACCACTCCACACCCACCAGGGCGGGTAGAGCCAAAATAACAGTTGTTGGTGAGAATGTTGAGAAATTGGAGAAACACTTGTTTATATTTTGTTTAACTATTTATAGCCTTCATCTGTTCCCACCATTGATGGTGAAAATGTAAATATAGTACAGCCACTATGGAAAAGTTTGGCAGTTCCTCAAAATATTAAACAGAGTAACATGGAGACATGATGATCAATTCCACTCCTAAGTATATACCAAAGAGTATTGAAAACATGTTCAAATAAAAACCTGTACATGAACCTTTGTAATAGCCAAAAAGTGGAAACACCTCAAATATTCATCAGTTGATGAATAAACAAGTGTGGTCTACCCATATAATGGTATATTATTTAGCCATAGAAAGGAATGAAGTGCTCATTCATGCCGTAACATGGGAGAACCCTGGAAACAGTATACTGAGTGAAAGAAGCAGATCTGTGAATGTACTAAAACCACTGAATTGTACACTTTAAAATGGTGCCATTTATGTTAGTGAATTAAATGTTAATGATAATTTGTAAAATGCCATGGAAGCCCAAAAGAAGGAATAATTAATTATGCAATGATCAGAGAAGTCTTCATGAGGTGACACTTGAGTTGGGATCAGTCTGTTTCCCTCTAGAAAGTGCTTTGGGCCTTGATGGGCTTGGAGTTTATTCTGAAGACAGTAGGAATTGATCAAAGGATTTTTGAGTAAGGGAGTGAACATATCTTCAAATCAGTGTTCTTTAGAAAAGTATGTTAAGTGGATTGATACATAAGGAAATCATCTAGGAAGCTGTTGAAATAGGTAAGAAATGATGACAGATTTAACAAAAACAGCAGAAATAACAGAAAGTTGGGGATGGCAATGGGAGACATGTCAGATGTCAGATCAGTAGAACTTATCAATTGGAAAGGGGAAGTAAAGGAGAAGAGAGAGTAAAAGCCTGAATTGGGTACCTGGGTAGATGGCGATGCCATTTATGGAGTGAGGCAGGGAGAGGAGCAGGGCTTAGGGAAAAGAAATGAAGGTCAGTTTTGGGTGTACTGAGTTTAAGATGTCCCTGGGACATTCAGATAAAAAGACCATCGCAGAGCGTATGGAGGTAACAGGGCTGAACCTCAGGAGAAAAGGCTGGGTTGAAATAGACATTTGGGCATCCTCGGCACAAAGGTGGTAGTTGACATGGGAAACTAGATGATACCACCCAGGGCACCAATGCAGAGAAAGAGAAGATAGCTGAGGATGGAATTTTGGAACTTATGTGCTTCTGTAGCACAGTGCACCAGCCTCTAACATCACATCAATTGCTGTTAAATTTCTTTGTTTGTTTGTTAATCGTCACCCAAGCATATTTTTTCTATTGCTTTTCAGAGAGAGTGGAAGGGAAGGAGGGAGAGGGAAAGAGATAGCAAAGAGAGAGAGAGAGAGGAGAGAAATATCGATGTGAGAGCGACACATTGATTGGTTTCCTCCGACACACATCCCAAACCAGGCCGGGGATCGAACCTTCAACCCAGACACGTGCCCTTGATCAGAAATCAAACCCACTTTGGTGCTTGGGCTGGCGCTCTAACCACTGGGCATACTGGCCAGGGCTTGGACTAGGTTTGTCTCTACATTTGAATATTCTTCCTGCACGGCTGGCAGAGGATTTGGCATATACCAGTTCTCTAAATGTTTGTGGGACTGAAGGCTCACCCAGATTTAAGAGATGAGGCAGGGATAAAGATGCAGCTGGGGGAGGGGTAGGAAGAGACCCAGGATAATGTAGAGTTAGGAAGTCAAAAGAGGGCAGCATTTTGAGGAGGACCTAGAAGAAACCATTGGATTTGGCAATTCGTCATTTTGTTCTCATTTAGCTGTTTGAGATAATAGGGAGGAACTAGGTTGAGGAGTGACTGGAAGGCAAAGCAGTCTGGGGCTAAATGTAGACTCTTGTTTTGAAATATGTGGCTATGAAAGGAAGGAGAAAAACCTGAGGCAGCGGCTTGAAGAATAATCAGAGTTGAGCCCTGGCTCAGCAGGTTGAGCGTCCCATGCACCGAAAGGTGTCCAGTTCAATTCCCGGTCAGGGCACACACCCAGGTTGCAGGTTTGTTCCCAGGTTGTCGTGGTGCATGCCGGAAGCAACCGATCAATATCTCTCCCTCTCCCTTCCTCTCTCTCTAAAAATCAATAAAAACATTAAAAATAATAATAATAATTCAAGTTGATGGAAAAGGTTTTGTTGTAGTGGTTTAAGACTGAAAACTTGAGGAGAAGGAGCCAATGGGAAGAGAAGACTTTGAAGATATGTGACTAGTGCCCAAGAAGAGCATGAGGCAGTTGGAGGCATTAACTTTGTAAATATTAGACATAGTTTCTCTTCTGGGAGAGGGAGGAATGGCTGCAAATGTTCTGAAGTGAAATAAAGTTGAGAAGGGTCTTACCAGATGATACTGTCTGCTGAGACTGAGGGAAGGATTGGAGGCCTGAGAAGATGGAAAAAATAAGTAAGGAATTTTTAAAAAAGGTTGGCTGGTAGCAGTGAGGCCCCAGATGAGCTGAGAGAATATGTGCACTCAGAGTCTTTGTTTAATTATTTAAGCAAAGCTATACTGAGTATTTTCTTTTGTAGTGAAATAATAATAGCCAACCGTATTTAGTAATGTGACTAAGCACCAGACATCCTGCTAAGCACTTTACATAGATAATCTTATTCAGATCTTACGGCTCAGCCCTCCCGGGAGGCAGGTACTGTCATCTGCAGGTACTTTAAAGGACCTGTCTCTGAGGACCTATTAAAGCTTGCCCAGGTCTACACAGCTAGTAAGTGGAGGTAGCAGAATTCAAAGCCAGGACTCCCTGAGTGCATAGGCCCAGCTCCACAAGCATATGCTGCACTCCCTTGTGTGCTGTGAGGGGTGCTAGTTAAGTGTCAGACCACTTCCCAACTGCTGGGCTGGGGAGGGTGATGGTGGCTCCCCTAGTCCACGCTTCTCCCTCTCAGTCTCAGGTGCTACTCACTGTGTGTGAGTTTCCCCTTGGGTACCTTTTCCTGTGCTGATCTGGACAGTCACATATCTCACACTTGAGGAATAGTGAGAGAACACCTCATTTAGGGTGTGGTACTTAAGCCAACCTTTGAGGGATGGGTCAGGTTAGGATGGGCCTTTGTGTTGTCTGCTTTCTCCAGTTGCCTCATGTGTTCTTTTTCTCCCCATTTATACTTTTTTCTGTTCCCAACTGATAGTGAAATAACTTACATCTACTAGAACACAAAGCTCTCTTCTCTCTCCCCTTTGTTTTGGGATAACTGCCTATTCCCCTCACTGGTGAGTTGTCCATTCTCTACTAACCACCTCATCTGCCTTCCCCCTTCTCCCTGTCCCCCTCACCCCTCCCTAGCATATCTGTGAGGTGTATAGCCGGAACCCCGCCAGCCTGCTAGAAGAGCAGATCGAAGGTGCCCGGCGGCGAGTCACTCAGTTACAGCTGAAGATCCAGCAGGAGACTGGTGGCTTAGTGGTGAGTGATAGCAGGCATAGCTCTAGGACGGGCACCCTGCAGGCGGACTGGGTGGAATTAGTGAGAAAGCTAGGGCAGGAGGCTTCCTGAGTCATGCCAGGACCCCAAGGCTGAGCTAGGAAGTGTTTAGTATCTAACAAAGAAACAAAGGTCTGTATTTCTTTTTAGAGCCAGAGAGACTGAGCACTGTCCTGACACTTGGGACTTAAAAGGAAAGGCCTTCTAAGAGCTTATAGTTGCAATGGAAAGCAATAAATATGAAATAAATGACTGTTGGCTTTAGTCTCCTAATTATCCATCTCCTCCTGAGTAATTTCCTCATAGCTGATATATATATTCCTATACTGACTTCACTCAGTGTTCATCTGGTAACTTTTTCCACTACTTACTTCTCAGGTCTTCTCAAATACAAGTACTTTAAAAAGTCCGCCTAAGTAAAGTATTCCCAGTTAGTTATGAGGCTTCTATAGCAGCAGCTAACCACACTTTGTGGAAAGTCCCAGAGGAGCCTCTTGGTCCTTATCTGTTCTGGTCAGGGAGTTTGCTATTAGTAGTGTCTTTTATCTCTAGCAGGCCTTAATTCTTTGGGTATATAAGAAGTAATTTTCCAGAAATGTTAAGATCTCCAAGAATAATATTTGCCAAAGTCAATAGAAATTATTTGAGGATTAGCCACTTTCTCCCTTAGAACATCCAGATCAAAAAAGCCTGGGAAACATAGGCTAATCAGATTTAAGCTGTTTTATTTTCTGAAGGAATTCTCAGTGTCACATGGTTGATAGGAGCTCAGATTCTGGACTTAGACCATCTGGATTCACATCCCAGTTCCAGTGCTCACCAGCTTTAAGACTCTTGGGCAAGTTACTTGATCCCTGGGAGCCTTTGTGGAGATCACAACAGGATCTACCTGACAGGATTATTGTCGGAATAATGCGTGCCCTCAGCACAGGGCTTGTGCCTGTTGCTGCTGCCTGCTTGTGTGCTCTGTGAGTTGGAGTCTGAAATACTCCAGCTGGATCTGGAGGTCTGAATTCAACCCCAGCTTTATAGTTTACCTGCTGTGTAGCTTGGGCAAGTTACTTAAGATCTCTGGGCTTCTGTTTCTCATTTATAACATGAGAGTTCTATACCTGCCTCAGAATTGTTGAAAGACTAAATGGGAGATAGAAAAGAGGGCTTTATAAACAGTGAAGCACTATCAATATAATTCTTTCTACATTGGCTGGTCAGCCAACCCGAGGCCAGCACCTCAAAGACCTTTAGAGATGACCTTCCACACGTTCCCTCAGTCATCTGCCTGAGCTTTGTGTGCCGCTTGATGGGAAGTTCTTTCTGTGTCTAGCCCTACCAAGGCAATAGGTGATGTGAGGTCCTGTTACAAATCAAGCGAATTTTTACAAATTTTCTGATGGTAAAGCTCTCTTTCTACCATTAGGGGTCACCATCCTCCTAAAACTGTACAAATGAAGCAATAGCTCTTGTAGCTGGGCATTTTTAAGGCAATAAAGCAAAAGAGGCCACTAACTGTACGCAGATACTATCTTCTGAGACTAAGGGAAGGGTTGATTGGAGGAAGGAAACAGTAGGGGGAGAGGTTAATAGGATTTGCCTACCCTCTGGACCTTTCTTTTTTAGGATGTACTTCCACTATATGGTAACATCAGCCAGAGATCATCAGAAGGTAAGTCCTTCCACCACACTTTTTCCTCTGGCATGTCTGTAGTCCAGGTTTCTTATCTGTTGTACCCTCTCCTTGAGGCAGATTCAGGGAAAGAAAATATATAGTACCTGCCTCTGGGAAATAGGGTAATGAAAGAAAGCAGTACCAAGCACAGGGAAATTGGATACAACTCATTCAGTAGAAATGAGTGTGTAGCCGGTAGCACTAGGTAGATAAGTGCCATGGAGAGACTAGAATGGTGATGGTAGGATGCCAACTTGCCTACCAGCACCTGGCACTTAGGAGCTCAAGAAATACTGTTGCACCCTGGCCAGTGTGGCTCAGTGGTTAGAGTGCCACCCCGTGCACAGAAGGGTTGAGGGTTCGATTCCCAGTCAAGAGCATGTACCTGGGTTGCAGGTTCAATCTCTGGCCCCGGTCAGGATGTGTGCCACCCCCCCNGGGTTCGATTCCCAGTCAAGAGCATGTACCTGGGTTGCAGGTTCAATCTCCGGCCCCGGTCAGGATGTGTGCCCCCCCCCCCCATCCTCCCTCCTTCCTTTCCACGCTCTCTAAAAATCAATTAAAAAAATAACCTCAGGTAAGAATTACCAAAAAAGAAAAGAAAAAAGAAAGAAATACTGTTGCAAGAGGAAATGAATGGGAACCAGGGAGAGTTGTGGATGAAGCAAGGGGTAAGACTTGTAGATAGAGCTATAGAGTGTTATTTTAGGAGGTGACATGGCCTGGGCACAGGTGTAGGGGTAGGTGAAAGCAAAGCGGCTGACACACGGGGTCATGAGATAAGAGAGGCAAAGGGAAACTGGGAAGGAAAGGAAGGTAGCAGTACTTTTCTGCCCTGTGCACAGGCTCCAGATTAAGGTTCTTCCTTTCCCCAGACCACAGCTCCTCACTGTTTTCTTGTCAGGCCGACTTTCTCTGGATTCACAGGACGGGGACAGTGGCTTGGACTCTGGGACAGAACGCTTCCCTTCCCTCAGTGAGGTGAGTGCCAGCAGAGGTGAACCCGTTTAAAGCTGTAGGTTTAGTGTTCCTTCTCCAGCACCTGATGGTTCTGCTGCTCACCAGTTGCCAAGGCCTGTGGCCTGTCGTCTGTGGACCTCTCCGATAGTTCCCATTCCAAGGATTTTAGTCACTCTGCCCTGGGTTCCAAAAAAAGGGTTTCAGATGCATCCTGCATGAAAGGTCATCAAATCTGGCTTCTGTTTCATCATAACTCCATGACGTAAGGAGTAGGGTGGAGAGAGAGGCTGTGCCATTAACTGTTGCCAGCCTTTGAGTGTAAGGGAGCAGGGACATAAATCATCTAAAACAGTGGTGGCTTGACTTAAACAAAGCACTTTTCTGCTTGGCTGCAGGTAGCTCGTCTTTGATTAATACAGTGAACCCTGCCTAGTCAGAAGCAGCACCATCTTTTTCTCTGCTACAGATCCTTCTGTGCTTCACCAGTCATCTTTTCTAGAGTGGTCAAAGGATTTCAAGTTTGGGCCTCAAAGGCTCTCTTTTCCAGGTGTTCTCAGTTTGCATATGTAAACTGCAAGTATAAACTTGCAGTATAAAAATACAAGTGAATGAAAGAAGTAACAATGATGTTAGCAAAGTATATATTTAGCCAGGTTAATTAAATATGTGAATCAGTCATTTAAAATATGTTTAAAACCTAATTTTAAGTAATAGTTGGGATTTTATTTTCTTACTGCTCCTGTCGATTCGGGGGAAAATGATGCATCTATGTGAAAGGATCAGTATGTGGGAAAGACATCAAGAAGGGGCCAGAGGATCCTAAATGATCTACAGTTGATGTCACCTTGAGGGTTTCACATTGGGAGGCATCATGGCTTAGTGATGAGGGCTATGGATGAGACTACCCGGGTTGAATCCAGGGAACACTACATTAGCAGTTATTTGACCTTTAGCAAGTCCTGTATCTGCTCCAAGTGTTAGTGTCCTTGTGTGAAAAGCAGAAGGAATAATACTATCTCCCTCAACAGACTGTTGTGTGAATTAAATGAGATACCATATAATCAAGGTTAATATCATGCCAGGCACAGAGTAAGTACTGAATTTATATTAGCTGATGAGTGTGGCTGTTACCACCAAGTGAGCTGAGCTCTGAGGGTCTTCTGGATGAGTTTCCTTCTCACAGAATTCTCTGTTCCTTTAGCCACTGATAAATCGGAACTCAGTTCTGTCAGACCCTGGATTAGACAGTCCTCGAACCTCCCCTGTGATCATGGCCAGGGTGGCCCAGCACCAGAGGTGGCAGGGTTCGGATGCCCCAGGCCCCCCCACCAGCGACCAGGTGAGTGGTGCAAAGCCACCCTGTAATCTTCCTTTCCCTTTTTTCAGAACTGGGTCACCAGTACATAGTCTTGAGTAATCAAACTAAACCCCTGCTTTGAGATATAGACTTATCTAGAGAATAAATAGTAAAGAAAGAACGTGGTTTCAATAGACATATGAAAGTTAGACTATCTCAGTTCTGTGCAAAGGGTCAGGGAATACATCTGTAGAGAAGTGATGTCTGTGGAGCACGTAGGTGATCTGTCAATGTCTGTATAAAACAGGAAGTAGGTTTCTTTAGTGTTTCTCCAGAATACTAATTTTCAATTTTCTCTTTCTTTAGCAAGTCCTTTTTGTAAACACAATCTTACTATTTGGCACCCTAATATAGAGAACAAATAAAAGCTTAGGTACCCTGGGACCTTTCCCAGTCAACCCCCCCTTACCCTCAGGGGCACTTCCTGGCACCCTAAGATTCTGTAAAACCTGACCTAAAAGCCACTGCTTTGAAGGGTAGAACTGGGTTCCAGGGAGATAACAGGAAGACAGGTTTTGGCTCATTGCAGAAGGCTTACAGGGAGTCTGGGCTGTCTGACAATGAGATGGGCTGACTTGAGAGCCAGGGAATTGCTTGTGTTCAGGCAGACAGTAGGTGACTACCTGTTAGAGACACTGGAAAAAGAACTACGAGTTTCGTAAAACAGTATCTCTTAAAATCCACCTGCTGCCACCATAATGATTTTTTCCAAATTCTCATGCCAATTGTTAATGTTATGTAATATTTTTCTTTATGCTAGCTCACGTTTTTAAACTTCAACCTATCTTAAAGCAATTCTGTCATTCTCTTAAAACCAGTATCACACAATTTAATGTTCTAGTTTTACACGAAGGGTAGAGTTGGTTACTTTAGCTCGTGGAGGGAGAACGGTGGGAACACGGGCCTACTGTGTATTCAGATGCCTGGTACACCAGCTGCTGTGCTAGCTCCTTTAGGAAAAAAAATCTCATTTCATTGTCCCCATCAGGAAAGGAAGTAGGTGTTACTGTCTTCATCAGTAAGCGAGACAAGTGAGGCAGACAAAGGCTAAGGGTCTGTTCAAGGAGGTAACTTGTTAATTGCAACGTCAGACTAGCAGTTCTCCTGAGCCCCGGCGCAGGGCTGCTCCTCTCCTGGCCACTCTCTGAGTGCCACTCCCCACTCTCTTGGTAGCACTACAAGACCAAATTTGGGTCCCAACGGAGGTCAGGTGCACCTCTGTTCATAAGGAGGTTTTCTGGTAGGTAGGTGGCTAATAGAAGCAGGTGTAGAGTACTCAGCCGTGGAGTCCATTTTTTCCTCCTCTGAACCTGTTCATCTTCTGAAAACTATTTAAATTGCTATTTTTGAGTGATAAGAGCAAATATAGTATAGTTCCAGTTCCTTAACAATAATCTATGTTGGTAAGAGCATGGGAGAAGCCTGTACCATCCATGGAACTGTCAGCAGCAGGGGCATGGGATCGAGGGGAGCTCTCACTTTCTGTTATGTAATTCTGAAATTTTTAAAAAATAATAAGCATTCTGCTTTTGTAATCAGAAAACCTATGTATCTGTAAAAATTAAAGAAAAAAAGTCCTCTCCCAAACAAGCAAAAACCTAGTGCTTTCAGGTTTTACCAGAGAGCCAAGTAGAAGCATCCAACACCCCCTGGGGATCCTAGACCCCCAGGGAGAGAGGGGGGTGCTTGGGATATGTCTAAGATACACAGGTATAGCACATCAGGCTTGACTCTGCCACTTTGCACGCATCATTCAGCCTCTCTGGGCCTCACTTTCTCGTTTATAAATGAGCACTAAACTCTGATCTCTGAGGCATCTTCTGGGTCCTTCACATTCTGTGATTGCGATTCTGGGCATAAAGTCTATATATATCCGGAAGAACAAAAATGCACGAGGAATAACAAGGAGGAACTGTCAGGAAAAGCCCCTGGAGAAAGTGAATTAGGAAGTATCTTAGGTCTGGAAAGAGGTAGGCGTGAGGAGTCTAGGTGGGTTCCAGAAGCAGAGCCCTTGCTGGGGAGTTGCTGGAAATGAGGTAGATTTAACTGAGAGAAAAATATAATTGGTGGGAAAGCTTTGAAAGCGCAAGGAACCTGTAGGAGAAAGGCTTGTTCATTGAAGCATCTGAAAAGCTCATGCAGTCTGACATCTCTCACCATACCTGATATCGATGGCGTACCGTTTCAGTTCCGTTATTAAAACTGGCATAAGGGGGAGAGAAAGAAAAGCCAATCTAAGAAGTTTGGATTCTAGACAAGTAATGGATGTCTGCCATAAATCTTGAACAGGCAGGGAAATGATGAAAATCATGTTGGAAAAAGCTCCCCTTTTGCTTAAGGAGGGAGAGGAGGACCGCTGGGCCCTGGCCGAGGTGAAGCTTTGCCTGCTGACTGGGCACACAGCAGCTGTAGAGCAGCACTGTGGTAGCTGCTCGCTTGGAGGGGTGTGTTCTGTGCAGGGGGTGGCTGTTTAGCAGAACAACAAAGCCACACCCAGTGGGAGCTCTAAGTTCTTATTTTGTTGGCTGACACTCCCTCCCCAGTTCTTTCGCAAACAGGAAGAGAGCACTTTCTTTCACTTCCCATCTTCCTGTGTCCGTCCTGTGACCAGGCTACTCTGAGTCTGCTCTGCCCCACCCAGATGTAATTGACTTCTGCAAGTGGAAATCTTATTTTGTGTTTTCTGAGATTTGGGGGTGGGAGTGAGTTTGCCAGACCCATGCGGCTCTCCCTGTCAGTGCTGTGCTGTCATTAAATGGGCTTCATCAAGGGAGGGTGGGTCCTCTGTCCTCTAACCTCTCATCTCTACAACTTGACTCTCTCCCCCAGGGTGTAGATCAAAACCCAAAGCCTTTAATTATTGGCCCAGAGGAAGATTATGACCCGGGTTATTTCAACAACGAGGTAACGGTTTCCTGGTTTTCTCCTTTCATCATTCTTCTGTCATACCGGTTGCTCTTGACTAAAAGCAGTTTAATTACACCATCTGGGAGGGAATGTGGAGGAGGGAGCCTCAGCCTAGAAGCCCTGGGAGGCCGAGAACATGCGCACTAAGCTGGAACAGGCCCCGCGGCTGTTCCCTGCCACTGTGCCCCCCGGCCAGTCTCATCCTTCTGTCTTCCAGAGTGACATCATATTCCAGGATCTTGAGAAACTTAAGTCACGGCCAGCTCACCTGGGGGTTTTTCTACGTTACATCTTCTCTCAGGCGGACCCCAGCCCACTGGTAAGTCAGGAGTGTTGGTCTTGATTGAGTGCCTGCGTGAGCCTCACAGATCTCTGACGGGCGTCTCCAGGCCATGGACAAAACAGAAAAGGAGGGGAAACTTAAGTGGAAGAGAGTCTTCACTACTAAATAAATAGCATAGGGAGGAGCAGGATAGCAAGGCCAAGAAAAATCATTCTTGGCCAGCTTGAAGGAGATGATCCTCTAGAGGTTTTTGAATGAAAGTGGATACAGACTGACTGGGGAGCTGAGAGTCACCCTTGGAAATATACAGAGCTACTACAAGATAGTTTGACAGAGAGGCAAGACAATAAAGGGCCTTGGGTATGAAGCTGATGACAAGAAGGACCGTAAGGTGATGGAATCTGGAGTGCCCTGGGATAGTGCTCAGAGCCAGCAGCCTTACCAGTTGCTCTCATTCTGCTCAACTGCTTGAAAAGGAAGTGGAATAAAAGAGAGAGGCTGATGTTGTGCTCTTCAGAATAAACTTCTCACCCAAGGCATGGACTACTGGTGTTTTCTTTCTGGGGTCACCACTATTAGAAGCCAGAGTCAGCATCCATTTGCGCAACAGATTATCATTGAACACCTGTGTGTAAGTCCCAAGTGCTGCTGGTGTCTCAGCAGCATTCCTGAATGAAGACTGGCAGGCACATCAGTCACAGAAATAAAGCAAGACCGTTAGGAAACCATCCATCAACAAGTACAAGATACTAAGTATCCCGTGTGGAGAGGATACAGAATTGAGGCAGTTGTGTTGACTGGTGCATGCAAAGGCAGAGGGGTTTACCATAGGCTCCCGAAACACCCTAAGCTGGGGTTTCTCAGCCTCAGTACTGACGTTCTGAGCTGTAGAATTATTGGCTATGGGGGGCTGTTGTGTACATTACAGGATATTTAGCCACATCACCAGAGTTTACCCATTAGACAGCAGTAGCGCCTCTCCAGGTGTCTCCAGACATTGCTGATTGTCTCCTGGGGAGGCAAAGTCCCTCCTGGTTGAGGACTACTTACTTCTCTAATCCATTTTTTTCTTTCCTCCTAGCTTTTCTACTTGTGTGCAGAAGTTTATCAGCAGACAAACTCCAAGGATTCCCGAAGTTTAGGAAAAGACATCTGGAATATTTTCCTAGAGAAAAATGCGGTACGGCAGTCACGGGTTGGATGACAATTTCATTACACTCTTTGGACCACGGAGACAGGAAAAACTAAGCAAAACATTCAGGCCGAATGCAGGCAGGTTCTTGAAGAGAAGTATGGGCTGCGAGACTGGGACTCCGGTTCTGTTCTAGCTCTGCTCTCAGGGTCGATCTGCTCTCTAACTTGCTTTTGTTCCACGTGCACCAGGGTGGAGTACACATTGCCTCTCTCTGAGTGACTCTCCCCTGGGTTAGTGCCCTGGCTCCCCCCAGCCCTTCCTGCCTCACCCATCCCTGGGACCAAGAAACAAGCCCAGAGCCCTCAGATGAGCCAGTCTGACTTGCTCTGACTGCCCTGAGGCAGAGTCCAGAGGTAGGACAGCCAGCCCAGAGGACAGGGGACAGATGAGCACCACATGTGGACATAGGTCCCAAGGATGCGGCAGGAATCCCCCTGGCAGCAGCACCTCTGCCTGCAAAGGGCAGTTCCCGTCTTAGGCTTTCTAATCTGATCAACTAAACCAATTCCAAAATGATTTTATTCATCTGGCAGTGAGCTACCAAGACTAATGAGTGTGAAATGAACTGGTTTTCCTCAATATTTTCATTTTTGCCTCTTAAATGGATCTTAAATAAGGAGATTAGAGCTGCCAGTTTTTCCCTGTTGGTTGTGGTGGAACCAGCCCTGTCCCCAGCTGTCAGGTACTCAGAGCAGAAGCCAATACACCATGCTTACTGGGAGACTTGGTGATATAAGACCGGTTTCCCTTGGCAGTGCAGGGAGGGGAAGTCCATCCAGTAGCCTAATAAAGATTTCCCCCTTGCTCCTGTATTAGCACTGGTCCACTTTTTTGGAACATCCATATCATGCACCCTGATGTCCTTGAAATAAGAGTGGAGAAACTGCATGTCCCACCCTCAGAATATAGTCCCTGCTGGCTCTGTATCCTCAGATTCCATTTCCAAAAACCGTAGCCTAGAATTTAGGTTTACAAGTTGGGGAATGGTGAGAGGAGGGTAGATGTAGGGGAAAGGGAGAGAAGGCAGTGTTGTCTCCCGTGTCCCCTGGGGTGTGCGACCTCACCACTTCTGCCCCACTCTTCTGTTTTTTAGCCACTGAGAGTGAAGGTCCCAGAGACGGTACAGGCTGAAATCGGTAAGTTGGCTCATTGGTCAGTTAGTGCCTGTCTTGTCCCGGGCGTTCAGGAGGCTGCAGAGTAGAGGGGCATAATCCCTGTCCTCCAGCAGCTGTCCTCTAATAGGGGAAAACAGAAATAGTTCCCCCAGAATGCCTCACACAAACAGGACAGGCCCTGCCTGGGAGCTCACTGCCTGGTGGAGCTTCTCATAGGAAGACACAACTTGGTTAGGAGACCTGGGCTCATTTCTGCCAACCTTCCATGTGACCTTCCTGGGCCTCAGCTGGGTCATCTGTACAGAGAAAATTGGAAGTAATGAGGGATTCCTAAGCCTGACCGGGTATCAGAATTGCTTGGGGAATTCTTTAAAAGCATAGAAACCAGGGCCTCACTCCACCCCACTCACAGAGTCAGTATCTCTGGGGTCTTTTTATAAATTTCTCAACTAATGCTGACCACAGCTGACCCAGAGTGGACTAGGTGAGCACTTCGCTCCCTTCCTACTCTCCAGTCACCAGTCGAATAGCTAAGGGAGGCAGTGGAAAGGGCTGTCAGCCTGAGAGGTGGATCCCAGCCAACGTTCTAGGAGATAGAAGTCCGAAGCTGCCTTTGGAGAGAGGGTGACAGGAAGGAAAGCTCATGGGCACAGGCGAGAGGGTGAACAGAGATTGCTGAAAAGCAGAGAGACAGCTGCCACTGCCAGGAACTTGGCCTTGGCTGCGTATAGCTAGATGCAGGAGCAGGAGAGCCGGTGTCTGGTGGGGACAGGTTTCATGGGAAGTGCTTGTGAGCTGTCCCTGGGGCACAGGAGGAGCATGAGCCTCTCAGACATGTGCACTTTGGTGTCTGAGGGCAGCATCTAGACACAGCGATGAGAGGGGCTTTAATATTTCTCCACTTAATAGAGGGCAGAACATCCAGAACGTTTTCTTGACCTTGCCTTAGGACGTGAGCATCAGGATTTTAGTCCTGACTTCAGGAATGCCTACTGGGTCCACCTCCACTTTCTTTGCCTAACAGGAGGGCAGAAAGCTAACCTCCCCTCCCTGTGCCGCAAGAGGCTTTGACACCCTCTGCTAAGGCGACCTCCTCCTCCCCAGCGTCCCTCCCCATTTCTTCTTTGGCTCCCCCCACAGATTCGCGCTTGCGGAGCGGTGAGGACTTACGCGGCGTTCTCTCTGAGGCGCAGGAGGCAACCATGCCCGAGATCCAGGAGCAGATCCAGGACTACAGGTGACCTGGCCGCTGTCCTCCTCTCCCCTCTGCTCCTCACCCCTCTTCTTTCCCCTGTGATGCGTGTATCTCATTATGTGTGTGTGTTTGCCTCACGTTTCTGGGTATGTGTGTCAAACGTTTGTGTACATTTATGTCTCTCTGGCTCAGAACGAAGCGCACCTTGGGACTGGGCAGCCTGTATGGTGAAAACGACTTGCTGGACCTGGATGGGGACCCTCTCCGAGAGCGCCAAGTGGCTGAGAAGCAGCTGGCAGCCCTGGGAGATATTCTGTGAGTCTCCAGTTCCTCTGCTACCCCCTGAACAGGTTGACACTTTGTGGGGCTGTTCACCGACATCTCTTCCCCTTCTACTTCTTGTCTGATTCTCTTTCCTCTGAAAGATGGATCTGCATTTCTCAGGCTGAGGACTGACGGTATTTCAAGGGAGGTGCAGAATCCAGGGCTCCTGACAGTCATGGGGTGGTTCTAACAAACCATGGGCTCCAGGCGTGCAGTGAGCTTCTTCTTTTTTTTTTTTTTTAATTGATTTTAGAAAGAGAGGAAGGGAGGAGGGGGAGAAAGAGAAACATATTGATTGGCTGCCTCCTGCATGCCCCCTAATGGGGATCAAGCCCTCAACTCAGGCATGTGCCCTGACTTCGGTAATCAAACCTCAATCTCCTGGATCATAGGTCGATGCTCAACCGCTGAACAACACCAGCCAGGCTATTTCTGGAATCTTGACTGTCTGCCTAGCACTGTCCTAGGCTCCTGGGATACATTAGTAAACCAAACAACACTTCTTGTGGAGCTAGTGTTATAGTTGGAAGAGAACGCAATGGAAAATAATAAATAAATTATATATTATAGTATATTGGAAAGTAATAAGTGTGGGGGGAGATAGAGCAGGCTGTGGGGATCAGGAGCTCCAGAGCTGGAGTTTTAATTAAGAAAGTGGGGGGTTATCCTTGAAGACATTGAGGGGAAGAGCATCATAGACAGATACAACAGTCAGGACAAAGTAGGAATGCACTTGACGTATTTGAAGAATGGCAGGAGATCAGTGCGGCCGGAGCAGATTCAGAAAGATGCTGCTCAAGTGAGAGAGGTGATAGGAGGGTCAGCCACCTGGAGCCTGTGATTGGGGAGCCATTGGAGCTGTAAGAAGTTCGAGTGTGGGTGGAGGGAGGTGGGAGATCAAGGGAGGGTTCCCAGCAGGGAGGTCAGTTCCCAAAGCCATGCAGTGGGGGCTTGGACCACAGTGGGGGTGACCATGGAAGGTGTGGAAAGATGTCAGTTCTCACTGCTTTGATGGTGAAGTAGAGGGTTTCCTTTAAAAGGTCAAAGAAGATTCCATGGTTTTTTCACTGAAGCTACTAACAGGACGAAGGAAGGTGCAGTAGACCATTGGAGGCTCAGATTGGACATGAGATGTTTTTTAGACATCAAACTGGAAATTTGAGTGGGCAGCTGTATGTATGAAGCTGGTATTTGATCAGAGGTCTGCGCCGGATGGAGTTGAGACTAGATGAGATCACACAGGGAAGGCCCTCTGACCATCAGCCAAGCCCTAAATCCTTCTGGGCCTTAGTTTCCCTCCATCAGATGGCAGTAATTGCCCAGCCAGTCCAGGGATGGAGGCAAAATGTGTCTGAGCCCATTCTGAGATTGGAGCACCACAGAATTTTTCGGGATTATTACTGACAGCGTAAGCACCCACTTACAATGGTTTCTGTTTAAAGCAACGGCGCTTTCATCTCGTTATGCAGAGGTAGAATACCTACTCCTGGGTTATTTTGAGAATCAGATGAGTTAATACTTGTCAGTAGATTAGGAAAGTGCCGGGCCCATAATTAACACTCAAGTGGAAGTTTCAGTTACTATTCATTCATCTTTTTAAAATAGGTTTCTTTGAATCAGGTCTCAACATATTATCTCTGCTCCTCGCCTTCTTTCGTCTGACCTCTGTGTCAGCCCAACCCCTCACTTAGCTCTGGGTGGACACAGGGAGGCTCCTCTTCCTCCATAATAACTCCAGAAGCTGAAACAGATACCACGCAGGAGGCAGGATTTGCCACATTCCCCTCCTTTTAGCTAGAAGGACGTGATCATTATAACTCTGTGCTGATGGAGTCCCTCGAGAGAACGAGAACCCTCCCCTCCTGAGCCCCACGCTGGCTCTAGAGCTGAGACCCAGAGTCCAGTCTGTCCTTTTATTATACTCTTCCCTTCTCCCCACCACACTCCCTTCCTCCTCCCAGTCTCTGCACAAGCCGATGAGCCTCTGCCTCTGCAGCCTGAGTCATCTGTTGTTTCTTTTGTTCCAGGTTCAAATATGAGGAAGACAGGAGGTGAGTGAGTCTGTGGTGTGTTTCAAGGTTGGAGGGAATGGGGTTGAGCTGCTGTGCTTTTCCACCCCTGCCAATTGCAGGAGAGTCCCTAGCATTGTAGGATCGCTGTCCAAGGTTAGTTCCCAGGAGTCTGTTTCGCCACCACACAACCAGTTTACGAGGTCCAGGCCCCTGATGCTCAGGATCACTGCCTGGGACGGGCATCTGCTCCTCAGTGTGAACACGCTGAACTGCCATCACTCCCAGTGTTCCCATCCCCACACCCTCTTCTCCACCCAAGTTAGCCGTGGGTCTCCCTCCCCGCTTTTTTCTCTTAACCCACCTGAAGAAGTAAGGGTGACAGAAACAGCCTACAGAGGGGAGCTGAGGTACCGCATGTTTTCTCTCTTGGCACATATTTTATAGTCTGTATACAGATCTCTTTGTTTCTCAGCAGCCAGGGTTAAAATGAGCATGCATTCCCTGAGCATCCACACACTTTAATAAGAGAGAGAAGATGGGATTAGAAGGACCCCATCTGTTTAAAAGGAGAGGAAAACCAGGGCTGAAGTATTTGCTGCACTGAATCCACAAAGTGGATGATCTGTCTACCAAATTGAGAGCCAAATCCATTTTTAAGCACAGGGCTCTGGACAGTTTCATCTGCAGCAACTGCAAGCTACTTGACAGCTCCTTTCCGTCTTTTTCTCTGTACTTGGCGGTGGGAGGCTGGCTGAGGCAGTCTGCCATAGAAGGGGCAGGTTGGCATTTCTCCCCTTCTCTTTGCCATTTCACCCCCACATGAATGCCTAAGGACATTAACTGTGGGCCTCACCTGGCCCTCTAGGCCTGCTCACGGCAGGTTTGCTTCCATTGCAGGGAACTGGCATGTCCTTCCACTGACCACTATCCCCGTGTTAGGAAGAATTCTGCTCAGGGAAAGAATACAATTTCTTCCGGGAGTTATGGCAGCCAAGACTTCCAGCCAGCTTCTGCCTGCTGCCCTGTTTGAGTATTCCAGGCCTCCCTCTGAGTGCCCTGGCCCACACCTACCCCTCTGCCACCCTACTGGGTGGTGGGGAGGAGACTGAAGCAGCGTTCCTGCCCTTCCCCCTGCAAGGAGGATGTGACTGGGCTCTCTGAGTCCACACCTTGCTCCTGTCTTCCAGCGCCCCCATGGACTTTGCCCTCAACACCTACATGAGCCATGCTGGGATCCGGCTTCGAGAGGCACGGTCTTCAAGCGCGGCTGAAAAGGCCCCGTCGTCTGCTCCTGACAAAGACAAGTGGCTTCCCTTCTTCCCAAAGACCAAGAAGGTAACTGAGCTACCCCAGAAAGTATCTTCCCTTGACACAGTTCTCTGCACTGAAGCAGGCTGGGAAAGCCCTTTTGGGGTTCTCTAGCCCATCCCACCACCTTTGGCCATGGAGTCTGCAGAAACCCTCACACTAGAGCAGCTCTCTCCCTTCCTTCAAACCTACTTAGGGTACAAGCATGACTCTGCTTTTCAGTTACTTGTTTAGGGCCAGTCTTCGGAGCAGTGGCAAAGTGAGTCTGGATATTGGGACCTTCTCCAACTCCTTGTCTCTTTTCTCAGCAGAGCAGCAATGCCAAGAAGGAAAAGGATGCCTTGGAGGACAAGAAGCGAAACCCCATTCTCAAATACATCGGGAAGCCCAAAAGCTCATCCCAGAGTAGTGAGTATTTGGGGAGCAGCAGCCTTGGGCAGGGACCTCAGCCCTCTCACAGACCAGTATGATGGCAGGTCTTCCAGTGTTTCTGAGCCACAGGCTCAGACTCTGAGATGGCAGCTTCCTCTTGGTGCTACTGCATTCTCATCTGGCCACACTACTGCAGGCTCTTTGAAGGACAGGTAACTGCGTCAGAGCCAAGGAGGCCATGCCAATCCCTTGGTCTTAGTCTGCAAACTCAGAACCAGTTGTAGCTACTGAACAGCCATTCAGAGGAATATTTCCCCCTTGGCCGTATTGCTGTTGGCACTTCACCTTCATCTGTGGGGTTCATCTGTACCCCTGAGGGCCTGTGTGTTGGGAGCAATTTGGGCCCTTGATGACGATTTGAGTTACTATTAAGCAGAGCTAGGTGGAAAGAGGGCAGGTTTGGGGCCCAGGGATTCCCCTAATGCCATCAGTAACCCAGCTCAACTGATCCTGTCGTTGATCTCTTCCCCATTGTGTCATTTGTCTGGAAATTGCTGCTGGCCCTCGCAGTCATTTCCTAAGACCACCGGTGCTAGTCTTGGGAATCTGAGACTGGCCATGGGATGGGACTGCTACCTTTTCTGAAATTGCTGCTTTGGGGGAAAGGGGAGGGGACTCCTAGATCAGCCCTGATTTTTGCCACTACTTTCATTTTCCAGCTTGATGTAATTTTTATTTTAATTTGACTTTTCATGGTTTACTTTTGTTTTTGTTTGTTTGTTTTTTAGCATTTCATATCCCCTTGTCCCCTGTGGAAGGTAAAAGGACCATTTTTTGGATTTTTCTTTGCATTAGCGTTGAGTTTCCGTTTCCCAAATCCCACCTTTCCTTCTCCATCCTCTCCTCCTATCCTGCCCCTCTCCTCCCTCCCTTTCCTCATCCCACTTCTCTTATATTCCTCCGTGTTGCTAAAGCTGCTCTGTGCCACGAGACTTTGCTCAGGGGACTCCTGTCCTCATGCCTGCCTGTTGCAGGGTTGGGAGGGGCCGGGAGACTCCTCCCCAGGTGCAGGTAGAGCTCTTCCTGGCCTTGCTCAGAGGCCAGACTTCTAGGCCCTCCCACAACTGTCCCACGGTCTGAGGCCTTCCTCTTTCATTCTGTCATCTCCACTGATGAGTGCCAAACATCCAGGATTTTATAGAAATGAGGGAAACCCTCGCACGCTGAAATGTCCTGCACAGATTCCTCAGATTTTTATTTTCCATTGAAATAACAAAAATCCTCATTTTTGAAGGTTATATAGGGTTATTTATTTATTTATTTATTTTTAGTAAATAATGGGTCTTCAGCAGTTTTTCTTTGGGGTACTTTTAATTTATATCACCTACTTTGCTTAACCCCTTCAGTGTAGTACCTCCATCTCTTTGACTCTTAATTTTGCCAGCACTGTATAACTACAGCAGTTAAAAAATAATGACCCTAATATCTACCCTAGTATGTGTAGTGCCTATTATCTATCTTAGAACCTATATATTAAAACATATATACACAATACACATTAACCAAAGAAGCTTAGAACCTAGAATTGGACAAGTTCATTGCCCATCAGTGAGGTCCATATTGCATACAATTAAGTGATTAATATGTTTAGGTTCTGCAGTAAGTCTACAGAGGAAGATAGCAGTAGGATGCAATCAGGAATTTATTCTTTTGCTAGAATTCATTTTTTGTAAAAGTGGCAATTAAAAATAATGATCTATAATTTTTTTTAATTATTAAATTCCTAAACTCATTATGTAGTTTTAAACAACAAAAATTATTATTGAAAAGTGATTATAAGAATGACCTTGAAACCCAGGCCCTTAGTTTTTAACACATACTTTATCCCATCTGCCCTGCCCAGGGAAGGCATGAGGCTTTAAGAGACTGAGTAGCCATGCCCAGGCTGCTCACTTTGTGTCAGCCTGAGAGCAGACAGGAAGGCCCAGGGTGGAGTTGCTGATCCTAAGGTCAGGATCAGGGTGCTGTATATCCACCATCTCTTTGAGTCTGATCTTTCCATTATAATTTTATGATTTGGTTTGTGTTCTTAAATTCCCAGGACACCAGACATATCTGTCTTCATATCTAAAGATCACACACCCACCAAAGCCAGAAAGCCTTCATATTGAGTTTTGCCATTTAGGATCATCAACTATTGCCCCTGTTTATTAGTGAAAATATCTTATTGTTAGTAACATAGTATACTTTTATTTAGATTTATCATTATTTAGATAATAGAGGAAGGAGAACAGAGGGTTCTAGTGAAACTTTGCTCTTTTCAAAAGTGTGCTACTTCCCACCAGCTTTTCCCCTGTACTGTGGGTTTTTCAGTTATACCATTTCTCAGGGCCACACCTGTTTCTTGTCACAGCTAGGACATAACTATATCTCAAGGACAGAGGGGCGTTTTCCAAGTGACCCATGGGAGGGGGAACAGTGGACTCAGCCAAGCTCCATCATCACCCAGTCAGGGCAGCTCAGGGCTGTGGCTACACAACTGACTCTGGCTCCTGCCATTGCCCCAAGGCCCAGACTCACCTTCCATTTGGAACAAGCCAGTCTGGCGCTAAGCTCCTAAATGGGAGTGATGGTGATACCCCTACTCCTGTCACATACACACAGCCACCTATTAGGCAGTTTTAGAAAAATATTACCCTAGCTACCTGCCTAAAAGATATGAAGTTGTGAGCTTTGAGGAGACCAGCTAAATGTTTTATCTGTTTCCTCTGGCTTGGAAATTTTCTTACGAAACTGGAGTTTTGATACACAGGAAGATTTGTAAGTTGTACATGTAGATATCAGAATCTGAAGCATGGGTGGGACACCAGTCAATGTGGTTAGGATCAGGGCTGAGCCCACTGGGGTATCTGCCTTGCCTTCCTGGTCCCTGGACCCTTCTTGTTGGTCTCAGGCAGAGCAGCATTTCCAGCCCAATTCCTATTCTGATATCACTGAACTTGGAACTGAGCTAGTTGACTTTGAAGATGAGAGCCACTGAGCCCCTGGGCCAGAGATGTCTTCTCCAGGTCTCTGCACGGAATCACACGTGCTTTTTTTACTCTCTTATGTGCCCTGTCTGCTTCTTTGAACAAGAAGAGCTGTCTCTTGCCTTAGTTTTGAAAAGGGGCTAGAATGTTAAACCAGAGAACATCTCTTCTTTGTTCCTCTTAAGACACCTCCTCCCCACTGATAATAAAGGGTTTGATTCTTTAATGATGGACCAGGGGTGAGGGCTTGGGAAGCAGAAAGAATAGGAAGGAGAGTTAAGGAAGAACAGAAATCATGAACTCTAATTAAAAGTAATATAAATTTGAAAAATGCTTGATGTAATTTGGTACCATGGCCAGATTACACGTAGATATGTTTTTGGTCCTCCGAGCTATTTTTTTTAACCTGTATGTGGCTCTTGGGAAAAACCTAGTCACAATTTTCAAGCAGAAGAATCATTGTAATAAAGAATATGAGAGTCAGAAGAAATATCCATAGAATATATACTTCTAAACCTCTCATTTTGCAGATAAGAAAGAGCAGACCCAGAAAGGTAGAGGGGCTTCCCATGCCATGCTGCATGTCAGTAGAAGAGCCAGGACTAGACTGTGCCTCCTATTCTTAGCCCCACACTGTTCTCACCCATGCTTGCTCATTGCTCTGTCTCCTGGGTTAGAGGGGAGCGAGAGTCCTGAGACGTTATCCTTGAACAGAAAGCAGAATGTCCTTCATTGTTTTTCTGCTTCTAGTTAAACCAGGCAATGTGAGGAACATCATTCTGCACTTTGAGAACAGCCAGCAGTATGATGCCCCAGAACCTGGGACACAGCGACTCTCGACAGGAAGCTTTCCCGAGGACCTCCTGGAGAACGACAGGTAGCAGTGGCTGGATGGGGCTTGCCACTGCCCAAGGAGGGGCACATGGGCAGGGTTTGGAGCTAGGGTTTGATTCCAGCTACTTTAGCCCCTCCACTAGACTATGAGAGTCCCACTGTGGAACTCTCTCCCTCACCCCACCTTCCCATCCGGATATCTTCAGAAGACATAATATGTGTTGGCAGAGAGAGAGCAGGGTCCCCACCTTCCAGCCCAGGAACCACATGCCTTTAAAATTTCCTTTGGATTCACCCCCGGCTTCTTAGCAGCCTTTATCCCAAGAATGAGCTAGATTATATTATGAAGCAGCTAATCAGGAAATCCTAAGTGACAAGGCTAAAGGAGACTATGAAGGGAGAAGGGAAGTCCTTGGAAGTCAGGTAAAAGTCTTTGATGCCCATGAGGAAGAAAGCTGGAGATGAGGCTCTGCTGGGAGCTTCAAAGGCAGATGTTAGAATTGTGAGCATCAGATGTCCTTATCCACAAAGAGGCACAAAGTTCACCAATTCAAAACGAATTGCTCTTTTCAAGAATAAAAAGAAATTGTGGCATCTCTCATAGTCTCCATCTTTGGCCAGATTCTACCTAGAACCCTTCTCTGGTATTGAACACACTCTTGGACTTGTTCTTGACTGTGGCGTAACAACAGTCAAGTCATGTCTGAAACTCTACAGCCAACACTTAAGTGAAATTTGCCTGTAGTTGGAAATATCCTTGCAAAGTTCTTAAGTCACCCTTGAGGTATAGTAGTGTGATCTTCTGTATACAAAAATAATGCTCGTGTGCACTCAAGCCTGAGCCACTGGGCTGGACTAAATAAAGACAGGTGCAAAGGCAAGCCAGTAAGTAGCAGCCTTCACAGTCAGACCATTTACCTCTGACATACCTAATTATCAAACTACATGTGGGACATTCCTGCTTGTATGCAAGGTTACTCCTTTCTGGTAAGTTTAATACATGTTAAATGATTTTGCCAAATGAGAATTAACAAAGATTTAGGGAAGATAAAAGTTAGATTTGTACTGATAGGCGCTTGAGTTCTAGTATTACTGAGTACATTAAATATACAAATCATGTAATTGCTGGGTAGGCATAGTCTTGTAGACTATCAAATACACAACTGTAAGTTATATCAATGTTTTGAGAAAATACTTGAGGCCTTTTGCAATTCTGTATTCTTGAAGTTGCTGGGTGTATTTGCCCCAAGACAGTCACCAGGGTCCTAAATTTACCCTCAGCAGAAGCCTTTGGATTTGGTGACTAAGCTCAGAGGATATCATAGATACTTAGAAGGTATCAGAAGCCCCTGATTCTAGAAGGCAGTACTCTAGGAATTTCTGGCCAGAGTTGGGTTACATGCCTCACTTCTTGATGGGAGTGCTGTTCCCTTATGGGCACTTAAAGGAAGTCGCTTAGCTCTGCAGCCCCAGTAACCTCACTGGATGAGGTTTGTTGTGCTAAAGTGACCCATTGGGGGGCACTGATGAAAGTGTTTTGTGGTAGTCTGGGTTGGAATTGTTCTAACAGATTTCAGGGGTGAGTTCAGTAGGGGATCAGCGGGCAGTGTGGTTTCTAACCCTGCAGACAAACCCTCAGGATGCTGGGGGAGGCTTCATGTAGATCCTCTGGCAGTTTGGAGACACATGATGAATGGAGAGCAAGCCATTTGGCTCCTTCTGTTTAGCGTCTTGCTGTGCTCTTAAGAGCTCTCCAGACTCTACAGGCCTCCTGTGGTCCTAGACACATGGCAGGATGTGGATTAGTAATAGTGTCAACAAAGAAGCAGCCCAGCAGGGTTGAGTGGGGAGGCAGCATCCTGGGCAGCAAGGGTTCAGAGATGCTGGCTATCTCAGGGTAGATGTGCTGCAAGACTTGGAAAAGAGCAACACCCACTTGTCAGCATCTCATCAAGCCCCAGAGATACTCAGTGGCCAAGCCCGGCAGGCCAGGGAGCAGGGTCCTGACAGTCAGTAAGCAGGCTCCTATAAGTGCGCTCCCAAGCTGGTCTGCTCCCAAGAGAGGAAATGGAAGCTTAGGAAGGATCTATCAAGTTAAGAATGGAAGAAATCCACATTACAGCTGGAGGGGTAGGGATCTATCAGCAGATAGAATTTTCTGGCAGGCAGTGTAGAGAATGCTAGAGTGAGTGTGTAAGACAGTGCCTGTACTTCCCTCATAAAAGATCCTGTCAAAGAAAGGATCTGCCTCAAGCAGAGTCCACAGTGGGAGCTGACCTATTCCATAGGAGGGGGCAAGATGGACTGACCACGAGATGCTGAGAGGTGGTCAGGGTGGAACCTGGTCCCTGATGAGAGACTTGAGTGTCCACAGCTTTCCTGACTGGGGCCTGGTTTCTTTGGCATTAGAACACACTGCAAGTTTGATTCTGTTAGTCCCAGATTTCACCTTCTTGTTAGAATCCCTTTCTGATTGGTCATGAGCAAGGTGAGAGGCTCTGTCCATCCTAGGGTGGGGAGAGGGAGAACTTTGTAGGATAGCAGTAGTAGTTTATCATTAGGAAGCGTCTTCCATCTAGGAAGTTTTGGTGAATCTCGGTGTTTGGGCCTTTTGTGGGGGTGGGGTGGAGAATCTGCACCATTGAGGCATCCTTGAAATGGGGCAGCAGATGAAGCTGGCCAGGACACTGGAGCCTAAGGTCTCTCACCCTTTTCCCCAGCTCACGCTCAGAGATTCGTTTGGGCCGCTCTGAGAGCCTGAAGGGTCGGGAGGAGCTGAAGCGCTCTCGGAAGACAGAGAATGTGCCCCGCTCTCGCAGTGATGTTGACATGGATGCTGCTGCGGAGGCTGCTCGCCTCCACCAGTCAGCCTCATCATCTGCCTCCAGCCTCTCCACCAGGTGGGCAGGGCTTGGGTAGCTCGGCCCACTGATACTGCAAGGGCAGGAGCAGAGGGTTTCTGATAGCTGACATTCTCTCCACAGGTCTCTTGAGAACCCAACCCCTCCCTTCACCCCCAAAATGGGCCGCAGGTGAGTGATGGGTGCAGTAGTACCTCTCTTTGGTGTCCGAGTTCCAGCCATGTTCAGCCGTTCCTCTCACTGGAGTGGTTGGTTAGGTGTGCTTCTCCTCTCCGTGGCCTGCTCCTTTCCAGTGGGCATGTGGCAAGCAGGTTGGGCAGGAGAGGAAAGGACAAACCCAAGTGTGAGTTTTTCCTTCGAGTAAAGCTACGCTGCCCGTTTTCTCCCAGGAGCATTGAGTCCCCCAGCTTGGGGTTCTGCACAGATGCCCTCCTCCCTCACCTCCTAGAGGATGATCTGGGCCAGCTGTCTGACCTGGAGCCAGAGCCAGACACCCAAAACTGGCAGCACACCGTGGGCAAGGACGTGGTGGCTGGGCTAAGCCAGAGAGAGATTGATCGGCAGGAGGTCATCAATGGTAAGAATGTGTTCCACCTTGCCCGTTTCCACTAACTTGTGTGGGAATAGGTGCAGAGCACCCAAGATGCAAAGGGTGGTAAGGAGCAAGTGGGTGGGGCCCTGGGGACAGGCCCAGGCCCTTGTTGATTCTGTAAGGAATGCCTCAGTTCTGACCCTTGGGTGAGAGAAAAGTTCATGTACAATTTGAAAACAATGCTCAATTCCCCCCAAAATAAAGTGGTTTGAGGGGGTCGCTGTAGTGACTCTGGATACTTGCTGATACGTTTTCGCCCTGTCTTTCTGCTCCTGTCTCAATCCCTGCTCAGAGCTGTTTGTGACAGAGGCTTCTCATCTACGCACACTCCGGGTCCTGGACCTGATCTTCTATCAGCGAATGAAGAAGGAGAACCTGATGCCCCGGGAGGAGCTAGCCCGTCTCTTCCCCAACCTGCCCGAACTTATAGAGATCCACAGTGAGGAGACGTCCTCCCCGCCCGACTCCCTCCCCCTCCACACCCCTCTCTGGCTAGCCTTCAGGCTTCTGTTCCACTTATACCTGCATGCCGGGACTTCCCTGTGTAGATAACCCTCACCAAATCCTCTTTGGTGAGAGAGCTTGTACAGCCTGAAGCCAGCATTCCAGTTCCCCCCACAGTGTACTGGTTTCCAGACCCTTTCCCACAACACTGCTGTCAGAGATCCCCTGCAGTTCAACCCCAGGCCTTTCTGTTTCTTTTCCCTTTGCCCCAGATTCCTGGTGTGAAGCCATGAAGAAGCTCCGGGAGGAGGGTCCCATCATCAGAGAAATCAGTGACCTCATGCTGGCTCGGGTATAGCTGCAAACTTCCCCTCCTTGGAGGAAAGGGGGAGGTCATTACCCAAGGCATGAAAATGTGACAAAGGAGGAGATGGGGAAGGACCAGTACCAGGTAGGGATGTGATGATGCCTGCCCATGTCCATTCTGCCTCTCAGTTTGATGGCCCCGCCCGAGAGGAACTCCAGCAAGTGGCCGCCCAGTTCTGCTCATACCAATCCATAGCCCTGGAGCTGATCAAGACTAAGCAGCGGAAGGAGAGCCGATTCCAGCTCTTCATGCAGGTGTGTTCTTGGCCATCCTTCCACCTTCTCTCATTGCCACTAAAAGCCAAGTCAGTCATCTCTTAATAAAGTTGGGGCAGGGTTAGATCTCTTGAACTTCCTTCCTGGCCTCCAGCTCCAAGCACCCCTGCCCCTTCTCTCTGCCGGGGAGGATAATCTGAACTCCTTGCACCCATCTGCACCCTCCCTCACGCCACCTCTCCAGAAACACTGACATTTTCCCACTCTCAAGACAGAGACTGCTGTTTGCTGAAAGGAATACTAGATAAGCAGTCATCAGGTCCTGCTCACCTGTTTACTGTCTATAAAGTGGGAATAAGACCTGCTCTATGCGGCTCGTTTGACCATATCCCTTCCATGCGCTTTTGTCTCCCTGCCCCCACATACCTTTCCGTAAATATTCAAGGAAGAAGCTGCCATCGCTGTGCTCAGTCACCCTCTGGAATTAGAACCTATTTGGCATTTTCACACCAACCCAGGTCCTGAGCCCATAAACCAGCTCATGATCCCAAGTTGACAACTTCCTCTGTGCCTCCTTTCATCTAGGAGGCCGAGAGCCACCCTCAGTGCCGACGGCTGCAGCTGCGGGACCTCATCATCTCTGAAATGCAGCGGCTGACCAAGTACCCACTGCTGCTGGAGAGCATCATCAAGCACACGGAGGGTAGGGCTGGGTGAGGGGCTAGCGTGTGAGGCAGCAGCCCTCATGTCAGACCCTAGTCCCAGCACTGACTTACGTTGTGACCTTAGAAAGTCACTTGACCTCTCTGGTCTTGAGGGTCTTCATCCCTGCCTGGTTATGGTCAGTCTCAGAAAGCAGATAATGATTGTAAATGTGCTTTGGGAAAAACAAGGTGCACAGCAGTGGCAGGAGGTGAGGGCTGCCTCTGGCCCGTGTGGTGCCTTTGGGGACAGCATCTGAGTGGACACAGGTTGGCCCACGTAGGACACCTTGGATCCCCTGATGATCATGGTTTCACACCGGGGCCGTGACTGATTTTAGTCCCTGTTTTCCCCACACACACTGGATACCTCTGTGCAATGCACAAAACACACAACCGTATGTGGTAACTAGAGGAGTAGGGACCGTGCTGAGTAAGGGGGTCTGACCCGTTTTTCACTGTTCCTGGGACCTCGGGCATCTTTCACCACTCTTGAATTTGGATATTGGAGTCAGGGTATACAAGTGTGAGGATCCTCAGCTTAATTGAATAGTTATTTCCAAAGGCACAATCACCGCAGTCACCCCCATTCTCTGTTCCTGTCCCCCCACATCTGTAGAGCTGGTTGTGGGCTAGGCAAGGATTCCCAAGAGCTATCGGTGTCTTCAGAGCAGTAGTCTGAACTCCAATGACCCTCAGTAAAATAAAACGTTACACGAGGTCCTCAGATTAGGCAAGGGTGGCGTATCTATACCCACATCTACAGTGGGCCAGTAACCATGGCTGTAAGTAGCCAGGTGACAGCCGACTCGTACAGACTTCTCAGGAGGAGACCCCGACTACCTCCTCTATGCTGATTGGTAGGTGGCACTTCTGAGCACGAGAAGCTCTGCCGGGCCCGGGATCAGTGCCGGGAAATTCTCAAGTATGTGAATGAAGCAGTAAAGCAGACAGAGAACCAGCACCGTTTAGAGGGCTACCAGAAGCGCCTGGACACCACCTCCCTGGAGAGGGCCAGCAATCCCTTGGCAGCAGAATTCAAGGTAGGCTGCAGAGGTAGGAGGCATGGTTAGCTCCCCACCCCCCCGCCACACACACTCATACTTCCTGGGCGCCCTAAAGAGAACAACTCTGGTCAGTGCCTAGAGAGTGGGATGCAGGAGACGTGGGCCTGTCTGGTAGGATGGCGTAGTGGGGCCCTAGAATACACATGCCTCCTATTACCATTGTCAGTCCATCCCCAGACAGAAATGGGCAGACAGCCCCACCAATGAAGACTAGATGTTAGACTCAGCCCGGAAGAGCAGGGGGTGGGAGTTCAAGCTTGAGGTAAAGGTAAAGATCCTTTGGGAGGGAATAAAGCTGAAGGGATGGGCAAGTAAAGCAGAGAGTGATCTTAGGAAGGTGGATGACATGGGATACGGGGTGGATGAGAGACCCAAGCCAGAGCTATTGGCATATCCCCCAGTACAGCACAAGGCACATGACTTTGTAGTGGCCTCTTTACTTGTCTGTGTCCCTCACAAGAGGGTAAGGGCAAGGACTCTTTCCTGCCACCACTGATCCCGAACACCTTAGCATGGTGTCTGGCACATAGTAGGTTCTTGAATACTTGGTCGAATGAATGAACAAATGAACAAATGGTTTCTCTTTAACAGAGCCTGGATCTTACAACCAGAAAGATGATCCATGAGGGGCCTTTGACCTGGAGGATCAGCAAGGATAAGACCCTGGGTACATGCTGGGGCGGGGTGGGGGGACAGTGCTGGGGCCCAGGGGCAATCTGTGGTAGGCTGGGCTGCCCCAGCACTTCCCTCCCCAGAGCATGAGTTCTGGAACCTGGTGCTCTCTAAAGGGGTAGTGAGGGAGCCAGGAAGCAGCTTAAAACATAAGTGGGCACAAGAGCCCAGACTCCTTAAGCACAGCGTGGGGAGTACCGAAAAGAAGGGGGCCAGGCGTTCCAGAGTCTTTGGTGACCCATGTGTTGATGATGGAGGCATGGCAACTGGAAATGCCTCACAAGCACCACCCACTCCCAGACCTCCATGTGCTGCTGCTGGAGGACCTCCTTGTGCTGCTGCAGAAACAGGACGAGAAGCTGCTGCTCAAGTGCCACAGCAAGACAGCTGTGGGCTCCTCAGACAGCAAGCAGACCTTCAGCCCCGTGCTCAAGCTCAATGCCGTTCTCATCCGCTCCGTGGCCACAGGTACTGTGCGGAGACAGTCCCAGCTGGCCTGGGCCCTGGGGCCATGATCACTGTTACTCATGCCCAGTGAGCAACGAGTGATGCAGGGTCAATCTGGGGCCTTACAGAATATATAGGTCTTGATCCATCTAAGCAAGAGGGTGTGATCCAAGATTGGGTAGGATGGTAGGTTGGGTGGGGACCAAGATGAAGATAACCTGGTGCAGACAGGAGGGGATGTGAGCACCCAGGACGGGCTAAGGAGATGTAGGCAGGATTGGGAAGGATAGGGCTGGGTAGAGAGGAGTGATGAGCAGAAGACTGCAGCCTCGCAGTACAGAGCTGAGTCCAGCGGACAGACGTTTCAGTGAGCAGTGGAGGGTGCACGGGAAAGGGCTCTGGAGCAGGAGGCCGGCAGCCACATTCTCCGGCTCACTCTCCTCATCTATAATGTGGGGGTGACACCTACCCTACCTCTGGGGGGATCAAAGCACTGATGGGCATGAAAAATTTACCCCACACGTCAGCCTTCGCTGTTAGGAAAGCAGGGGGGTAATGGGTGGCCCTGAAAGATGCCATTAGGGGCTCCAGAATTGCCTCTGTCCCTTGTGAGTAGGTCCCGAGTGGTTCTGATGACCCACGTCCGTTTTACGCTACATTTTTCATTCGTATTGAGGGTCAATGCTTTGAGTCCTCACTCTGTCACCCTGGCCCAGGCCGGAGTCAGGCCTCTGCCACCTTCAATGGAGTGCCTTCTACCTTCATTTCCTCACAGATAAACGGGCCTTCTTCATCATCTGCACCTCCGAGTTGGGCCCACCCCAGATCTATGAGCTGGTGGCATTGACATCATCAGACAAGAACACGTGAGAGTCAATTCAAGGGGCACACGTAACTGCCGTCTCTTAGGGACCAGGGTGGTGTGTATGAGGACAGAGGACAGTGAGGCCAGGGATGGGCCCCAGAGCAGTCAGAGGACAGGGCATTGGGCAGGGCAGTTGGAGATAAGCCTGTAGGGTCACCATCCCTGCCCTGTAAGCAGTGATGGTGAGCAGTGCCCAGCAATCTCCCATCCATTTTGCTCTTCTTTCCTTGCTCTGGCCCCATCCCCTTCTGCTTGGGTTCGCTTCCCTTTCCCCATCACGTGTTTTAAATCCACACATTCTTCTCAGACGTTCGCCTCTGGGCCCCTCATCCCTACCCTGGTCATTCATGGACCCCACGTCCCCTGACAGTAGCCAGCTGGAGGAGGCCTGGTGCAGTAGGACACAGATTAAGTCAGGCAGTTTCTCAGCTTCAGGGTTTTCATCTGTAAAGCGTGGGGGTATTGACTTTTTGTTGAGAGAACAGATAGAGAGTGCTCAGCACAGAGTGTAACAGGGTTGGTGTTCAGTCATTGGTAGCTGCAAGTAATAGAGCCACACAGGAGCAGTCAGCCAGGACTGTGGGAAGGTGGGGACCTGCCGGGCCAAGTGTCCCTGGGGCAGAGTGTGGAAAAGGCTTCAAGGCTCTGGGCAGTGGGGTCAGCAGGGGAGCTGCTGTGTGCCTGGCTCTTGTCCCATCACCGTCCTCTCTTCCTGACAGGTGGATGGAACTCTTAGAAGAAGCTGTGCAGAACGCCACCAGGCACCCAGGAGCTGCCCCGACGCCTGTCCATCCCCCACCCCCAGGTCCCCGGGAGTCAACCCACCGGAGCCCCAGGTCCAGCAGGTGCTTAGCCCTACAGGCCCCCCTGCTTCCCCAGTCCAAGCTCCTTGTTTTCTGCTGTTCCTGTGCCTTCACCTCTGGGGAAGGACAGCCTCAGCAAACAGGTGTTAGCTGGCATATAGAGAGACATACCCACACCTCTGCCTTCCCTCCCTGTCTGCTGTCCCCAACAGCCCCACATGGCTCTTGTGGAGGCTACACCTAAAGTGGGGG